GAAATACAGTTTCAATAAAAATATCACTGATGTGAAGAGTTACAATATGAAAGCAAACATACAATGCAAAAACACCATCAATCAAGTTTTTATGTCAAGCATTATAAAGCCTCTGTAAAATTTGTTTGTCACAATCTTTAAAGGATATTGTTAAATCGGAAAAGTCCATCAGGTACATCTGTCTTTTTAACGGAAAAGGATATCCCCCAGTTAAACGTCTCGAACTTTTATATGAAGTAAAAATATTATTTCTTCGACTTACATTTATACATCTTAAACTTTAACTAATAAACTAGAGGAAAGTTTCATACTGCTAAAGGTGCCATAACTCGTCTCACTTATTTAGTCCTATTTATAATCTTGTCAAGAAAAAAAAAAACAATAAATTAAAATTAAACAACAACAACAATAAAAAAAAAAAAAAAAAAAAAAAAAAAAAACATATTTATCCCATTCTTTCAGTTGTCACAAACATAAGAGAATTTATGAACAACTCAATATGAACCAATTCTACAAAAATAGTAATCAGTGCGCTAAGAATTACCTAACTAGCGTTTATTTGAAATCTGGGCATTGAGTCAGATAAAAATATTTTAAAAACTTTTGTAAAAAGTTTAAAAATATCAAAAAGTGAGAGGGGTGCATAAGTTCATATAAAGACAATCACAAAAAAGTCTAAGATATGAAAAAATGTCCATATATTACGACAAGTATAGAATTTACCCTCCAGAAACCTGGGCTGAGATGTTTTGGCAAAATAATTTTAGGTATTTAAAACGGTTATAAGCCAAAATAAAATGCATTCATGTATATAATAACATTTTTTTAGCGCTGGTTAATTCTTTTTTAAATTAAATATGGTTTCCATTGAACGGGAACATTTTTTGGTATTTGTCCTTGACAGCAGTTAGTGGTTATAATCAAAAACCTGAAAGTGAATTGAGTTTTTATGGAAATTCAAGTGGACAATATTTGATATAAGTTTACAAAATATAGTCGACTCTGAGTTGCAACGCAGATTTTTATTAATTAATTATTTCAAAAAATTGTAAAATATGTGATCGGGATAAGGTATAGTAAATTAAACTGTCTGGTCCCAAAAGTAAAAGAAAGCGTATGCCGAAAAAATCGTGAAAACAAAGGCGAAGAAACTAAACAAATGGAATTTTTTAAACCCCAAAATAGTGATAAATTGTGGAATCAACAATATCGTCGAAGTTCTTTGATAATCTTTTCCATCAGAAACAGTAAAAATTGATGCATCTTTCAAAATCATTGATATCGATTTTTGTATATTTATAAACTGCAATATTTCACTTATGTCGCCGGAAGTATTAATCAGTTTGCTATAAAGTTTTGTCAGTAATAAACCAAATACATTATTTTAATTCCGAAAACCGGCTGGCGAATTTTTTTGTCCAAATTTATTTGAACTATTTTTTAATGGATCTTTTCAGCACTAGTGTCTCAGAAAAAGATATTTGGTCAGGATCCTAGAAAAAGGCTCCCGAAAATTCACGATCCCTTAGATAAAGAGGCTTAACATATGGACGCAACAAGCTTCACTCCCGAATTATGTCATTATTTCCATAAGTAGGTTTTCCACGTTCACAACTTGTGAAATGTGTTATTATGTTTAAGAAACTATTTTGTGCAAAAATGAATTTTGAGTACCGGTATTTTTCTGTTTTTTATATACCATTAATTTTTTAAAATTATGTGCTGTAATGGTATAACCTAAGCATTTGAAAGAGTGGAAATAAACTAAATCAGCTTTATTTGCCATGCTTCTGAAAAATAATGCCCAATAAATAAAATGTCAATATAGCAAGTTGATACCAATTGTACATTTCAGGTTTCCGACCTCCGGGATAAAAACATGCCTTTTTTCTCGATTTCAAATACCCGTATATTTCCCGTTTTCATTAAAGAATAAAGTGGTACGTAAGATTTCTGCTTGTTGTGTCCACTCTATCAATTTCCGGTTTATCTTTTATATATGGCATTCTAGTAATTGATTTGTGTGCGTGTGTCAAATTCTAAATAAGTATCTATAATGCTATACTGTTATATTCTGAGTTGACTGCTACAGTTCAATAAAAAATATCACTGATATGGAGAGTTACATATGAAGAAAAATACAATACAAATAAACACCTTCAATTTTTATATCAAAACATTACTCTGTCAAAGTTTGTTTGTCACAATCCAAAAAGATATTGTTAAAACGAAAATTCTATTCAGGTACATCGTCTTTTTACGAAAAGGATATCCCCCAGTTTAATTATGTTATTTATGTGATAAATACTTATTATTTCTTGACTTAAATTTATTCATCTTACTTCTATATTAAACTACAGAAATCCATACTGTTATGTGCAATAACTCTTCTCACCTAATTTCTATTTAATCTTTCAACAACAAAAAAAAACAAAAGAAAAAATACAAAAAAAAACAAAAACAAACAAACAACAACAAAAAAAACAAAACAAAAAACAAACACGAGGTAGATGATCCCAATCTTTCAGTTGTCACAAACCATAAAAATTTATGAAATTTTTAACATGACCAATATCTACAAAAATGGTAATCAGAGCGCAAAGAATTACCTTACTAGCGTTTATTTGCATTGAGTCTGATAAAGTATTAAAAAATTTGTCAAAAGTTAAAAAATATCAAAAAAAGTGTAATATATGAAAGAAATAAAAAATGTCTAAATTTGAGAAAAATATCAAATTATGACAAATATAGAACTATTTCTGAACTAGACTGAGATGTTTTGCAAATAATTTAGGTATTAAAACGGATAAGCCAGATACAATACATTTCATGTACGATAAACATGATAGAAAATTAATTTCATTTTTGTTTAGTGAGTCCTTTTTATTAACAGCTAAGACTCGTTACTTTACATACCTATTTTATTGTTAAATAAAACCTATCAAATGTGTCAAAATATATTGCATACACTAACCTGTTGCGATGATAAAATCAGAGTGAGCAACTGATTTTATATTGTAAAAATTGATAATTTTTTGCCATAAGAATTGAGTTGAATTGTGAATAGAACTGAGATGAATTGAATTATATATATCAAGGTAATTATTCTTTGTATAAATGACCTTCCATTATAGACCAATGCACTATAATACTGTATTGCAGTTTGAACTGCTAATAATAGTTATAAAGTGTTTTTTTCATCATGGCTTTCTTCACTATTTGACTTACAACCAGGTCACAACAAGGCAAAGAACTACAGATAAGATCTATAAGTGAAATCATTCAATGATTACCTCCCATTACATTAAAGGTCTTGGTCAGTCGACTTCTTTTTCATTCGATCATTGTTTGGTTAAGTAAATAAATGTGATATTGCAGGAGGCGTAAAACATGGAAAGAGAACGTCAGACTTCGGTTTTGCATCGGCATCGAACGAACCGTTTCAATTTTACAATTTTACTGAGATCTTGTTCTTATGGTGTAATATAAAAACACAACTTCTGAAAATATGAAGTAAGCAGAGTATTTACTGGTATAAAGGGTGTGATATAATGCCTGCTTTGATAGCAACAATGTGCATTTTTACCATTTAGTATGAAATGACTAGTAACTAATAAATTTGCAGTATGTTAAAAATATTGATTACAATATCAATTTTGAAACATCTAAACATTTTACAAAATTGGAATTGAAATGACCACACAGGGGCGCGCTTATTGAATGTTCACATAATATGTGTTTGATAGCAGAGAACATTTATCCTTAGTCAGAGATGAATTCTAAGTCCATGCCCATTACACTATATACTAATATATAGACAAGGGTAACAACTCCCTATGCTTAACCAGAGTTTTCGCCTAGCAGTTTTTTTAAACGAAACAGCATAAATAAAAAGGAAATATGTAATATGTAGTCTAATTATTATGCCCCCATAAAAAAGTGGGGGTATATTGCTTTTGCAGTCCGCAGACCAAATGGTTTCCGATCAATAACTAAAAACGCATAGGTCTATGAACTTCAAACATGGTATGATGATTGTTCATGACCAGTAAATGACCCCTATTGATTTTTGGGTCAAGGGTTAAAGGTCAAGGTCACATTTACCTTGTAGGTAAAAACAGTTTCCGATCAATAACCACAGAATGCTTAGGCCTAGGAACTTCAAACTTAGTATAATGATTGTTCGTGACTATTAAATGACCTCTTTTGATTTTAATAAAATAGTAAATACAAGTTCTTTTTATTTGTACAATTTGCTGGAAATAATAAAAACAATTTAACCATAGGGGACCATCCTATATTATCTATTAATAAACATTGCTGGTTACCATTCCACTATTTCCGCCCTAAAACGGGTTTTGTGTGCGGCTGTGAGAAATTGCGAAATAAAAAATTGCCGGTGGCCACATCAGCGGGGCTTATTGCCAATAATAAAATTAAATATTATGTTGGATAACCAATAGAGTCATCGTTATTATTAATTGCTTTACATATGTACAATTATAGACCAATTTACTTCGGAAAAAATATTGACATAATATCTCAACGATCAATTCATTTCCTCTTGAGTTTAGATTCATTAAATTCAAAGATGTTGCGTCAACATTCTATCAATATTTTGAAATATTATATAACAACAATCCTAATACAAAGAGGATCTCACTAAAATAAAGTATGGCTTCAAATTGAACTCGCTTTCAACTGATTGTTGTGAATTGTCGTTCAATATGTTAGTACAACAAAGATAAAATTTGATAATTACTAATTTATCATTCAAATATCAAATTGCCTTTGCGAAGAGAGTAGGCGACGGTCAGTAGAAATGAGCGTTTAATGTTAAAATAAAAACAAAATAAAAAGTCTTCGATTGTTGTTATAGTCGGATTTGCTTTTATGAGTATAAGGTCATTGCTCATCTGGATAGAACATTCATTGCATTAATGACATACTTGTAGCAGATTATGAAATAAAAACAACAAGAAAAAAAAAGAAAAAAGAAAACTGAAACTGATATCGTAACAGAAACAAAAGGACAGAGTAAAATTTTGTTGCTTAAGTAGAATATAATAGAAATTTATTTCTGATTTGTAAAATGGAGCGTTTTCATATTTATGTTATTGCTGTTTACATTTTAGTAACTTTTATCAGTTTTACTATCAGTGTAAAATGGACAACGTTTGAAAGAGATGATTCCTTAAACGGAAAAGCGTGTGAAGATGCCGATATTGCGTTCAGTAATATGCTAATATATGACAAGTCGGCTTGTGTACTTAAATGTGCAAACCACACTGAGTGTAAAAGTGTGTTCCATACACAACATACTGGTGATTGTACAGGCTGTAGTGTAAGTTATGGTAAAAATAATCTTCCGACCGGGCTTATGGACGGTTCAGTGTGTTATCAGGAAAAGTCAGGTAATTTATGCTAACTATTGTGATCTAATTCAAAAAAATGAATATTCCAAACAATTAGTTGATATAAATAACTACTATTGATATTGATAATAATGACAAAGATTATATGAACGAATTTCGAACATTTATCAAGCATTGTGTCTACCAAAGTCGAGACAACTTTTTATAAATTTTAAATCATATTTTTTGTTTGTTATTTTGAAATAAAAAGTACATGATTAAGAACGATTGAAATATTTTCAGCTTTTTAGATTAATGTAAAAGTCAACTGAAGTTGCACTTATTCATTATCCGTCATGTACAGACTCAATCAAACCGATTCTGCAATTTTCATGTAGTTTTGTTGTTATTAATGCTTCCGAGGGATCACTTTGTTTCCAGATTTTGAAAAGGTGCCAGTTATTGTCATTAATAATCGTAACACAACAGAAGAAAGCTTGTAGTTTAGTTGAAACACTATGTTATGTGTAACCTTTTCAATTACATAATTAATAACATAAAAATATTATTGAGTTACCATTTAATAGAATAATAAGACGTGCTCTTTCAAATTTATTTTATAGCCAGCAAAGAAAGATAATTGTTCTAAAACTTAAACGTAAAAAGATAAATTCATAATTAAGTAATGTAGAAAGATAAATTTACAATGATGGAAAAAATCATTGCAATGGTGATTGGTTTAACTGATATATTGAAATGAATATAATTTATTTTTGTAATATAATACATAAATAAGTATAAAAATGAAAATTTAGAATACTAAGAGGATATTTTTTCGTTTGAGTGAAATATGGAGTATATTTTCATGATAAAATGCCACATATTTTCACGAGCCGTCCCGGCTCGTGAAAATATGTGGCATTTTATCATGTTGAGTGAAAATATATACCACATTTCACGAAAAATGAAAAAATAACCTTTTTATTTAATTTCATCATCAAAGAAAAATGGTTACAAACCCTATTGCTTGCTATGCAACTGCAATTGTGCAGTGCGCAGTAATATATTATTGCGTCTTGTTTTGCACGCGATATTTGGCGCTACATTGTGACGTCACGTAAACAACTGTTTAAACGTCTGTACAGCGTTAATAACTGAATTAAAGATATTGGTGTTCGGATTAATTTTCTTAGTTAGACCATTTTCTATCATTCTTGATAGTTTTCAAAGCAAAATTCAACAAAAAATTGTTTTGTATTTATCAGATTTTTCAAACAAAATGGCGAAAGAAGTCCCTTAAAATAAATATGAGTTTGAACTCCGCCCACTTTCATATTTATATTTCATACAGAACAGAACAGAACATAATTTTATTTAGGATTTGTACATAGTACATCATCACTGCAATATAAATACACACATTGTAAATATGTCACGTTTCTATTTAACAAACAATAAAGGATTTAATATATAATATTGAATTCCATGTAAAGTTGGAGAATGAACAATTCTGGATTAAAAATTAAGAGGTTATTATCATCACTTGTAATATGATTTCCTAAGCAGAGTATAAACATATTTGATACAACAAATCAATTGAAATTTGAGTATAAATTTGTAACAAATATAGAATTTAAGTGTTAGTACTAACAAAAGTGTTCCTGATTTTAATCGATTCTCTCAGATATTTAGCTAGATTCATTAGTATAATTTTATTATTAGAGGTTCATATTAAGAGGTTAATACACGGCAGGAGAGGGCCGGAAGGTGATAATCGGCCCGCAAAATGAATAATGGACCCGAGGGCTTTAGCCCGAGGGCCATTATTCATTCAGGGCCGATTATCACCTTCCGGCCCTACGCTGACGTGTATTAAAGTCTTTAATACACTTGGTAGATCTAATAGTAGCATTTAAAAAAACAACAAAAAAAATAACAAACACATATTCAAAACAAATAGACTTTGAAGTTCTTTCGTTGAAATTCTTGTCTACTCTTCTACTGTTCTGTAAAGTACAGAGATGTTTTCTGTTTGTGTGTTCAAAGCAGTAGAACCAAGAAGCAAGTTTTATTTTTTTTTTTTTCGGAATGAATTTGTCGTATTATTTCTTCGAATTTCAATAGTAACAAAAATGTGTTTGTACTAAATACGCTTAAGGTCTTATAATAAAAATAAAGCGATTCGTGCTGACAACCTACTTTCACTTTTACAGTTAACTGTTTGATGACGTTAAAAGTGACGTCATTGTTTCAGTTTGTGCACGTGCACATGTTCTGCGGGCTGATAACTAGTTCTCGGCCCCGGGCCGCAAACTCATAATAGGTCACGTGACAATCATAATCAGTTGAAATCATAGGCAATTTTGTTACTATATATAGCAACAAGTGTATTAATTATTTTTAAAAAATATGAAATATATTTGACTGATATAGCACCATATTTCATGGGTGAAATTAAATAAATGGTTATAACAACTATTTTGGATACAACAAAAATAAAACATACATATACACATACGAAAACGACACACGCACGCACACTTAAATGTGTAATATTTGGAATGAAGTGGAATTTGTTGAAACTCGTTAAGAAATCGGAGAGTCTGACATTTTATTAACATTTGCCTTTGGATTTTCATACCTGCAAACTTATCAGGCAAGTATTTGTGTTACGATGAAATGTCATTAAATCAAAATTCATTTAAAATATGTTTTATTTGATTTTTTAGACTGTCCGTCCGGCTGGAGTAGCTTCGAGAATTCTTGTTACTTCATCACGGAGGAAAAAACGATCTTTTTGAGTGGCTTGGTAAGTAAAATATTATCCTTTATTAAATATAATAATATAATTGGTCCATTGTGACATCTTTTTACCTCTAAAAGTTTTTCTTTTTGAAATTAAAGATTGTTTTACAGCAAAGTTAATTAAACATGATTTTTAACCTTAACATTTATTTCTCATGCCACTGTTTAAAATAACTTTTATTTAGAAATAAATAAAACAAATATTTTTTTAGCAGCACTAAATTATTGTAAGAGAATTTGAAACAAGAAAATTAAAAACATTGTTTATAAGAAAATGGGACAGTTAATCAAAATAAAGTTTACCTTAAAAATACAAAGAATTTAACTCAATTACGACCGTTAATGAAAAAAAACAAAACAAAAAAACACACCAAAAACAACAACAACAACAATAAACACACACACACACACAACAACAACAACATTTATACGGAGCTGTAACAGGTACAAAATATTGTAAATAGCAAAAGTAACAAATCTATTATCACATTGCTGTGTAAGCCGATAAGTTATTAAAATGCCAATTTTTGACGTTTTTTTTTATTTTTGTTTAATTTTGAATGATTTAGAAAATTTGCTAAACATAAAGATAGTAGCGTAGCAAGTAATAATCTTATTCAAATACCTGTTAAGTTGTAAGTATGTCAGTTAATTGTTTATTAGAGTGACATTGTGCATATATCAAATACATAATTATAATGATAATAGTACATACAAAAACACCCCCACCCATTTGATCTGTAAGTCACCTTACTATATGTAAACAAATATATAAACTGTGAACAATACATAGTTTTTAAATGCGATCAAAATTCTGTTAATTGCAGTAACACATTTCAGAACATGCACAGGTAATGCGTCAATGCATTTTACCCTTATATTTTATATTTACTTTTATTTTGATTTTCAGGCAAAGTGCGAATCATTTGATGCTCGACCTGTAATCATAAATAACGAAAACGAAAACAATTTCGTCTTGGACCTCATTAAGTCAACGACGAACCAAAGTATGTTTTCATATTAGATTTTGTTCAGATGTATAAAAATGTATTAAAAACAAAAAGTCATACGAATATGTACTTTACATGTAAAATCAAACCAGTTTATTGACGAATATGTACTTTACATGTAAAATCAAACCAGTTTATTGGTATATAAACTGAAAGTGATAATTACGAAAAGAACAGATTCAATAACATGATGCCGAAAAATTGGAGAAATATAATTGTTGTAAACGATATCTGGAAAATAAAACATTTTTAATAGACAGAATCATACTTGCTATATTCCTTCTATGATTCATTAAAAGAAGCAAAATATTACAAAATATATGCGATATAAAGCTTTGTAAATTTAAACAAAAATATTAAAATTTAATGTTAAATTCCCACCTTTGCAAACTCTTATTAAAACGATACATTATTAATCATTTACCCTTTTTTTGAAAATGTCAGTTTCTTTAAATGGATGTTTCTTAATTCAAAATCTCTCCATTTCATGTTTAAATGTTGTTATTTGTTTAGGCCAATGATTTGGGCAGGGACCGTTGTATGCATTTACCACGTGCACCATAATGAACAGACTCAACCGACAGATGAGCCTGCAACGTTTACAATTTAATCAATTTATTTTGGGGCGTTCTTTAAGCAACCATTTATCTCTCCCATTTATCGTACATGACTTTGTTTTCCAGATGATGATTTTGGTTTCTTTACTGGCTTTACAGACATTGAAACTGAAGATACATGGGTGGAATACGGTACTAATAACCAAATGACCTTCGAATATTGGGGAAATGGTGAACCAAATTATGGAACGCTTGAAAATTGCTTGGCATTCTTTTACTCAGTTGACTTGAAATGGATTGATATATCGTGTAACTTTATGCTCAAAGTCATATGCGAGATTAATAAATAAAATGCATTTTATGGCGCACACAACTTCTTGCGTCCACGATAACAATCTACAGTTTTTCTTGTGCACATGATCGTAACCAAAGTGTTTAATGGCGGACATATTTCCTTGTATCCTTGATCGCAACGCGAGCATTGTACGTGACTGACACAGAAATAAAACTGATTTTGACTGAGAATTAATAAAAATAGAATAAACAACTGAACAATGTTAAGGTTTTCATTTGATTATGAACTGCTGTGTTTGGCTGTAAGATAAAGTTGTTAAGCCCTTGATTACTTGAATGTTTTAGCATTATTACAATCGTGTAAATGACGATAGAACTGTGCAAAAGTTTAGCCAAATTGTCCAAATCTGTGCAGAAATGTACCACCCGTTAGGGAGAAAATTATTTTGTAGTAAATACAAGGGAATTAAAAATAGCTTAAAGGGCTACTAAGTACTTACCCTGACCCTAATTTAAATATTTCCAGGAAAGTCCCTGCTTTTAAAGGTCATTCGTAGGCATGATCTGGCTAGCTTTTTCAGGCGACTTCAATATATTAGAAATCGGATTAAAATAAAATGCCTCAGCGCTAATTCATTTCTTTTAAATTGGTACGCAGTTAAAATTTTGGTTCTTTTTTCCGTTTTATATGTGTTATTTTATTTCCTAATAATTTCACAAATGCCTTTTGCAGCACGTCTGCCTTATTTACACTTGCTATTTTTTTTAGACCTTTACTTGTTATTTATTAGACTCTATCTCGCTTTTTATAAGATTTTAACTTGCTTTAGATAAGAGTCTTACTTTCTTTTTTACACTCTTAATTACTCTCCAAATTCGTTTGATTAGATCATATGCTGTTGTTTGGAGCAGCTTAGCCAGCTGCACACTTCCTGACAATACACAAGAGTAATGTCAAAACTGACCTTATATGAAATTTTAGCCCTTTATTAATCTATTAAGCGGCTCGATAACCGTCACATACACTCTTTTGAAGGTATGCAGCGCATCCGCCCATGATTGACCATCTAGTTTCACAATCCGTCTGTAGTTTGTAGCGCACCTGATCATTTCTTCCCGGTATTTCTTATACCAGCTACGAAAACTGTGTGTAATGTTGACAGTCAGAAAGAGGTACAATCTTTTGATTTTTCCACATCATGTTGTGCTAGCGACCGACCTAACCGATGCATGCTAAATTGCGATCTATGGTAAACTTTAATTTAGTCATTTGTTTATTGCGACAGGCCTTCAGTACGGTTGAATGTAAAAAAATAAGTCCATGAATTGCTTTGTCTCTTGATTTGTCATTCAATATGCTAATTAAAAAGGACATTTGTTATTTTAAAAAGTTATAATTGTCAATGATTGTTTGTTTGTTTGTTTGTTTCATTTTACGCCTTTTTCAACAGTATTTCAGTCATATAGGCGGGTAGTTTCCTAACCATCGTTCCTGGAGAGTTACACCAGTACTAGACAACCTTCCTCCGCGCTAAACTACCAAAGCATCTCCCGGGGATCGAACCCACGCCAGAGAGGTACCTGGAAATTGTCAATGAACAGAGTAAGCTATGGTTATATGTTAAATCATAAATATGTTTACATGTAAGTTTGTTAAGTAGAATTTCTTCCAAATATAAAAAACACATTGTAACAAAAAAGGTTGTCATTTGATGAAAAACTCGTGCTCGTACAAATGACAGATTATTCACCAATGCACTTTGCTCTGTTTTGGTAACACAGTTTTGTAAGATTTAATCCACTGGTATTTAAAAGGAAAACCACCCAGTGCTTATATATATTACTAAATATTGATTAAGGTTGTACTTATTGAATAAACGGTAAGTATCTGAACAAAAACACCTTGACTGTTTATCGCCATTAGTTAATGAATAAGGCGCTTCACAAATACTTCTTTGAGTTAGTATTGTCCGAGTAAACTACACAATTGGCCAAATAGCTGAAGCTTTCTATAGTTTATTGTTTAACCCATTACTTCATTAGCATTTTGTGAAAAATGGCTGTTTACATTGAAAAGTCTCCCGTTACAAGTTCAAATAGCTATAAAACTATAAAACTGCTTCAATACTAATCAAACTTGGCACAAATGTTGACTGGACCATTGCCTTTGTAACGACATGCTCAGTCTTTAATTTCCTGTTACCATGGCAACGAGGGGACATCTCAAAATTGCCAAAAATCACTATTTTGCGTTGATTTTTTCCATCAAAATTGATTTCAAAGTGGGTAATTGGTTAAATGAACAAATACGTGTGAATGAAATTTAAATTTTTACTTTTATTAAGAGCAAGTAAATTTGGTGAGTATTTTTAATATAAGTTTTATATGTTAGGATTTTATATGCAATACGAAATAATTAATATAAAAGACCTATTTGATTCTTGTTATTTCGTATGTGTATGCGTTCGTTTGCATACGGAAAATTGGTCAAACGCATTTTGGATTCTCTGGGCTGCCGTTCTAGTATCACTACGATAGCGTTTATTTAGTAAAGGTCTGTTATTTAGTTACCTTACTGTCCTTAGAGACTTAAAACCTTAGCAAACAAGAAACAAGAAATGAACTACAAATATTCTCAGTGGTAAAGAAAGTATGCACAGTTCAAGATGGCGGACGTGTTTTTGCAACGTATCAGAATTTGAATGAAAATAGTTAATTTTGTCCCTAAAAATGGCAAGTAATGACCTAAATTTTCATGGTAACCTATCTTCACAGCCAAACGTAATGGTTTCAAACAGATTTGGGCCTCTTTGTGAGGGTTTTGAGTCATCCCAGAGCAGGAAAAGAGCTCGCCGTTCGACGGGTGGGGCATCATGCGAATATATGTCTCAACCTCAGCCACAGCCTATAGACATTGATAAACTTAAACAGCTGCCTGTTGATGATAAACTTAACATTATTATCCAAAATATGTCTAATATGGGACTATTGAAGTTGCGAATTGATCAAATAGAGTCCACTGTATTTATGAATTGTGCACATCATGGGGTCACGAATGAGAGACTATACGGTTGCTTGAATATAAACAAAATTGAACTAGAGGCCCGTAATAGAGCCTCAAATTTAAATTATCTCTGGGGTTGTTGAAAGTGCTGGCGAAAACTGTGTTGACATTGTGACAGACCTTATTGAAACTTATTCAAATCTACAAGCATCGTCATTTGTGATATTGAGGGCACACAGATTAGGTCGAGTGTTTAGACCTCGCGCTCCGCATTTAGGTCCCGCTCCAAAACCCAGACCAAGACATATTATGGTGTCTTTTTGTCAACCTATTGAAGTCGAGTTTATAATGGACAATGCTTATAAGCTCAAAGGTTCTAATGTCGGATTCAGCCGGGACTATCAAGGGAGATAAGTGACGCACGCAAAGTTCTGTGGCCACATTTCAAGGACGCCAGAAATAGGTATGGAAACAAAAAAGTTCGTATTTTATTTCCGGCGGCGTTGGAGGTAAATGGGCGTATAGAACGTAACATGTTCCCCGACTGGTTCGAGGTCCTTCGTGGGTCTAGATGCACAGATGTGCCCAAACGTGTTAGCGACAATATCAAGGCAGAAACCGATCGAATTGAAGAAGCTTCGCAGAGCAAAATTCCACTGAACATAGAATGGAGTCACCTAGTACGCATCAAAATGGGCACAACTTATACCGATCACATTTCCTGAGGCAAATAATTTCGAATCTGCTGACTCCGAATCGCAACACAGTGACAAAAGTGACAACAGCAGTGTTCATAGCTTTCATGACACGACTGCATCTACTAACCAATATACTAGTAACTCTCAGGTCCATGTCAAAACACCCAACCAGTCGAGTGCCAAGGGCAAGGGCCCACTGCCACCCAGTGTTGTAGAGTCTTTTTATCTTAGAGCCAACAACCAAGCCAAAACCCAAAATCCACCAAATAAGAGCAAAAAATCAAATCATAATCCAGTAAATAAGTAATATTGAGTGACAAAAAGCAACAATCGAATAAAAATAAACTCTATTCGGAAGCTGTGTTAAATCCCAACAACGATTGGCATAAAGCTGGTAACACCCATGTCAGCCCACCAGCTAGTACCTTGCATGATGACAGCTAGGACAGACCGGGGACAGTACCGCTAATTGAGTCTGATACGAGTGCATTTGTACATGAAAATAAAATGACTTTTGATGGCGATACAATACATTTATGTGAACAGAATATAAGTCCGGATATATTCCTATGTAACCAATGTATGGAACTGCCAAGTTGTTCAAATTTCACTAGACATGCTAGATGTAAACATTATACAAGTCCGAAAAGATTCTCACATTGGAAATATGCAAGAAAATACTATAAAGTGACCATGTTTTATGTAATGATTTTTTTACTGATATTTATGCAAAATTAGATGATAGTAAAAATGTATTTTCTTCGGATAAAAAAACCATAGCCACTGAATTACAAGGTTTAAGCTTTAAAAACACTATACACAACGCTAATTCTATTAAAATAGGCAGTCTAAATGTTTGCGGTTTGAAAAATAGAAGTTAAATACCCAGACTTTTCTGATCTTATTAAAGACTATGATATTTTGTGCGTGGGGGAAAGCAAACTAGATGCATACGACATTATAGATATACCAGAATATACGTTTTTCTCGAAACCTAGAAAAGATAACTACATCAAAAAATCAGGTGGCATTGGTTTTTTTATTCGAAACTCGCATGTCAATTATATAGAAATAGTTGAATCTGATTGTGAATATATTTTCTGGGTCAAAGTTCATGCATATATGTTCAAAAATCTTGATAGCGATTTTATTATTGGTGCAATGTATATACCCTCCAATGCAGTCACGTTTTTACAACGATGACGAATTTCTCAAGCTTGAAATGAAATCTCAACTACATGTATAAAATACAAATATTGTCTTATTTAAGGGGATGTAAATGGCCATTACCTCTAACGCTGATGATTTTGTCATTATAGATGATTTTTTCTATTAAAACAGTTCGAATTTGATGAACAATTCATGAGTGCATTTAACTCTTTCGAAATACTCAAAAATGTAATGTCCCGCTTAAAAGAACTTCTATGGACACGAAAAACAATGCTGTCGGGCATAAGTTCCTTGATATATGTAAATGTTAATAATTTATACATATTAAATGGTAGAGTAGGTAAAGATCGAAACAAGGGAAACTTCACTTTTAGAAATAC